TTCTTCCGACGTTAACGGTCCTGTTTTCCGATTTTCGCAGGATACCTTACGATTCTTTGCAAACCGGTTGAATTGGGCACGAATTCTCAGGGCCTTCCGGAGAGAAAACTTCTTGAGCAACTCTTCCCATATATCGATGGTGATCGATTGCTTGAGCGTTGTTAGTGCTTTTTGATTCTTGGTCGGTTTTAGTTCCTCTTCCACTTCTCGATTCGCTTGGAGCACTGGATTTGGTGGCCACTTTGCGGGGTCTTTCAGCCACTGTGGACCATTTTCCCAAAGGTCGTTTCCAACAACACTTCCACCGCGACTACCTAAGTCAGCAGGATTTTGTTTCGTTGGTACGTGATGCCATTTCACACGAGTGTGGGTTTGGATCTTGGCAACGCGGTTGGCAACGAACTGGCGATATTCTCCTTGACCATTGATCCAGTAGAGCGCTACTGTGGAGTCCAACCAGCAATGGACCGACGAGACTAATTTTTGATCGATTTCATTCTCCACGTTTGATAGCAAGTTCACTGCCATGTGTCCGGCAACGAGTTCTAGACGAGGTATGGAGAGATTACGCTTCGCCAATCGAGATTTCGCGCACACCAACCCTTGCGTTGTTCCATGTTCTTGCTCTACAACTGCATATACCACGGCCGACACTCCAACTTTGCTTGCATCGCCAAAGGCATGAAGTGTGATCGCTGTAACGAGCTCCTGGTGGGGAGCTAAGGATCGTGGAATCTCGTAACTTTGTGGGAGTTCTGTGTACCACTCTTCCCAGCGTTGCTTCGAGGTCTCGGGTAATTCACCATCCCAAGGAATACGGGCATATTCACCGCTTCCGAGGATGACGTGAATAGGTAGTTGACTTTTCGTGTCGTGATCGTCGATATGTACCGCGTTGAGGTGTTGATAACGCTTTATCAACTTCTCGTACTCAGGGTTTTCAATGAACAAGAGCTCGCTCTTATCGACCTTGTTTAATCTCGTCATCATTTCGTGTCTTCCGTCGTAGGAAGTGATGGTTGCGTCATATTGCTCGACCTTTGCTTTGCGTGATGTCAAGAGCATATCAATTTGTTGATCTTTAATTTCACTCGGCTTGATGACAAGTGCACTAATTAATTGAGCTGAGGCATAAGAGCTCCCGGCGCCAGAGTCTATCAACGCGCGACATGTTAAACCATTTACTTTAATCACAACTATAGGAAATATGCCCTCACCACTGCCACCATCTGTCATCAACTTCTTATCACCGGACGCATGTTTAGCTTGATCACAAATGGATGAGTGATGACGTTTGCCGCATTGGCTGCAGGCAGATTTACTTGTACAATCAGCAGCGCGATGGGGTTTCGTTGCGCAATTAAAACAAAGACCCTTTCTTGCCAGTATTTTCTTTCTTTCGCCTACATCACTGACTTTTTCACATTGGACGGCTTTATGGTTCAAATCACCGCAGTAAACACATCCCCTGGGCACAAATCGCTGATTTTGAGAATGGAAGAGTTTTCTTGCATTGTTCGCCTCCTGTTCCTCTCCAGAGCTAGTTACGGGGTTTCTCTTTACCCATTGATTCACGGCATCAGTTAGTTTGATAAAATCCCAGGCATCCCACTCAGGGTCGTTGCGCACCAAATCCCCCCGAATTCCCGATAGTTTATCAAGGGTCATTGACACGTTCCCATTATTAACATTACTAAGTTTGCCCATTGTCTCGAGCGCTTGAACTGAATGCGTAAGTTTATCACAAAAGTTAGCGATCTTACGGGGATTGGCTCCCGGAATGTTTGGTAAATCCAAAATTTCCTTCACATAGCATTTCTCTATTTCTGACTCTTTGCCGTATTTATCTTTCAAAATTACTTTTGCTCTATTATACCCTTCAGGGCTAAATGGAAGAGATTCGACACCGCGTTTTACGTTTGGTTCAAGCAGCTCTAACAGATACGTAAACTTCGTTATTGGCGCTAACAAACTTTTGTCAATCGCTTCAGTGAATTGTCCCCAGAACTTTGGCCAGTCAGTAAAAGAGCCACCAAACTTTGCGATAACGAGTTTGGGTAATTTTGCAGTCCCAGCCGAAAATACTTTGGATTCTTTACATTCCTTTTGATGTTTGGGGGCTGAAGACGAGGCAGAAGACAGTTCGGCTTGCATTTCCATTCTCTTTTCCTGCAGTATCATTTCATGCTTTAACTCTTCCTCGTGCGTCACAAACTTTTCGGCCTTTTTGGCCTCAGCAAGAAAATGTTCTAGGTTTTGAATAGCCGCGTCAGCGGGCTCAAACTTTAAATCTAAGTCATCGTTCCATTTTTTGATTTCTGAAAGCTCTTCTTTGTTTGTGATTTTAAATGCCTCAACAGTGCGTCTGCACTCATTGGCCTCGTTGGCCGTTGTTTGTAACGCGTCGAGGTGTCGCTTAATTGCTACTCGCTTACCTGAGCTCAGCAATGTTTTTGACTTCTCTGTTGCGATTTCCAGCTGCGTTAGCTTCGTTTCGAGATTCGTCAACTCTTTCCCGTCCGTATTCATATCACAGATTCAGTAGAATCCCGTTCAGGAGGTGCCACTATGTCGAGAATTCGCCTCCAAAATGTACTCCTCGACAAGTCACAAATGTTCGAAGTAACAAAAATGTATATTCAAACAAAACATAAAATTTACCAAAGATATATAACAAAATTAAAAGGTTCACAATAGTCACGATTACGTATAGATAGATAGCGCACGGGCTATTATCTCTCTTTCACAAATACAATTTCTCTCTCACTCACTGTCACAGTCCAACTACGATTGTTCAACTAACTCTCTGCTCAACCTCGTACCCAGGCTCTTAAGAGCCTGGGTACGAGGTTGCTCTCTGCTCTCTTTCGTGACTATTTCACTCACACCCTCACTTTGACACCTAATCATTCCTACGTCATGCACTAATAATTAATTAAAATAATAATCTTATCTGTCAGTTCCCGACAAAAACGTAGTTAAAGTTAACGCTGGTCAATTAAGGTATCGTTGACACTTCTCAAAACGTAGTTAAAAATGGCGCTTGTATAGGAGAAAACAACATTTTCAGTAATTAAACCATTCATGAAAAGCAATGCTTATGTTTCCTGACAATATAAACTCTTCACTAACGCTACTGATCGCTTTGGTTTTTTGGCGAAAACAAAATATATTTTTGCACGGGAAGATTTCACGAAGACGACGTAGGGTCCATAACTTCATATTTACACGAAGAAACATGCTATACAATTGCCAAACAGTTACACTTTGGTTTAACCATAGAAATAATAGATACTATATTTCTATCGGTTTAACGTAGACATCTCAAGTAAAAACAACCTTCTTTTTTGATTTATCCCTTGTTTTCTTGTTTATTTTTCACTATTTTGAATAAAATTCCCGCGTAGCTATAGTTTGCAAAATGCGAGTCCACAATCATGTTAAAACAGTGCTTGTACGCGGTCGTTAATCAGCCCTTACTTTACGTAATTTTACTGTTTAATTAACCACCCCACGCAAGCGTCACGCAAGTTAATTAACTATACCTGATTAGTTAATCATCCGAAAAACTACGTTTTGTGCAACGCAATTAGTTAAGGATTTAACTACAGTGATTAACGCTAATCATAGTTAAAGTTTTAACGACGTTTTTTTACAACCGGCCCCTGGGGTTACAATTGCACACAATTTCCGTCGACGTCGGGTAATGCCAAAGCACATGGCGTGCGGGAGGGGGGGGGGGTTAGGCCCCATCCCCATGACCCCCCATTGTTCACTAAAGCAGTCGGTAAAATTGACAATTGTAATCTATGGTCGATAAATTTTTGGAAAAGAAATAATTTGGTAGACCAGCTCAATGAATAACGTTGAGTAATGTTTTATCGACGTCATATCCAGTCTGACAATTGACCAGAAACGAGTATACGGAACCAGGAATATTTCCATGACGTTTGATATATTGCGCAGAATTAATGTTGAATTATTTTGGAATTTGTACAACGCTACTAACAGTCCGCCCAAATTGCGTAAATTTAGAAATTCTGAATCTCAGCCCATGTTAAACTAATTATAAAGTATATGATCACATTAGCCGGTACGTCATGCGATATATCCTCATATCATCTTCGTACTTGGTTGAGATTAGGTTCATGGTCATGGATGATATTTTTTATTCAAAAGAATGCTTTTTATTCAAAAGTTTCTCATTTGCGATGTCGTGGTCATCTCACGTTGTTTAGCCTGCTTAGCAGCCGTTTTTCTCGGTGAGAACTCTCGCTTTAATTATACATCTCGTCGAAAAGGTCTATTAATTTATTCATCAGCCATCTGATGATGAAGTTCATATTAATTGATTTATATCAATACACGTCGACTTTCTGCTTGTACTTTTCGGTTAGTTGCATACATACATACATACATACATACATACATACATACATACATACACACATACATACATACATACATACATACATACATACATACATACATACATATATGATACATACATATACATACATACATCGCCTTTATTTAAAGCACGGTAAACCTTCAGTAATATTACATAATAAATATAGTCTAAATTATTCTAAACTTAAAGATATTTGGATTTACATAGTATATATATAAAAATATAAAAAATATGAAACTACTGTTCTACCAGGTTGCCGGGTGGGAGTCGGACAAGAGTTAAATAGCATTATTAGTTTTTAAAGATCTTTTAAAAGATGAAAGTGATGAGAGTCTCAGAGATTCAGGCAAGCTATTCCACAATGAAGCTCCACTATAACTACTACAGTTGTATCTCTCTCACACCGCCCCCTGAACCGACTTTTTAACCTGATTTTACGAAGGAATTGCTGTTTCCAATGAACATAAACAAATTATGAAATATAATGATTTTTAATACTTTATTTTTCACATTGCTCGGTTTCCTTTGTACGTTCTTATCGGGGAATATATTCAATATTCCCCTTTAATCAATTTCCGTTAAATAATCCCCTCTAATATTCACCTGTAATGTCTTTGAAGCACAAAAAATGAGAAAAAAACAACATAACGAAGGCAATATGGCATTGATAATTATTTCTATTTCTGACTCATTAACGCAACCTCGCAATGTGAAAAATATAAGTAGGCACCTCGGGGATATGTGTTTATTCACCTCGGCGCTGTAAAACACATATCCCCTCGTTGCCTCAAAATAACCTATACATATATCTACCTACAATATGTAAATTATTAGAATTTATCATGACATATGAAATTCTTACCCTAGCTTACCTTGATCTATATTTTCCGCATAAGGATCGGATGTATAGCGTTAAAATAGACTGAGCTTCAGTTGTAGCAAGTCTGGCAAGAAAGCACTGCAACTGCTGTATTTAAATGCAAGGCGAAGGGAAATTAGTCATGGTAGGGGAAATGCAACTTAATAAGCTATGACGTAATGCTGAAACGGAACATGTGGAGGCGTGTTGTATGGAATATACGATTTCTCTGCAACGGCAGCACGCGCAGGCTGAGCCGCTGCCAGTTTCCGGAGAACTGTCATTCTGTTGGAATTGTGCGTAGTTCGTGTAACCAAACGATATAAGTTAACTATATATACACAACAAAATAAGCTGTTCCGTACTAACTTGTGCACCAACAGGAACAGTCGTGTGCCGAACATGTCTGGCGTTGTAGAATATTGTTGCTGATAATGAAAAGAAACAATACGTCAATACAACAAAGAAGTTTCTTGTATCTAATTCGTGAACGCTTATTGGGCTTATTGCCGAAAGGCGAAAATTAAAATACAATACAATTGAAACTCCGAAGAAATTCATATTTAAAAAATTGAACTAAATATATGAATTTCTTCGGAGTTTCCATTGTATTGTATTTTATTAGAATATTCAATGGTTACCGTAAATTTTGGCGAGAATTAATATTTGGCTATCACGACCAAAATTGGGCATATCACGCTGAATCAATATCAAGACAATGTCAAGTTAAAAGGTCATGAAATTGCGTCACGGCGTTATGCATATTGCAGCTGGTGGGCAAAAATAATGCCGTGGTAAATGACCTATTCTAAAACTAGACCCGAGTGACAGATGAGTAACAGACGAGCACAATCAGCTCTCTATGCTCTCATGCAGTCACTAATTATTGTTCTCAACTATTTTAGTAAATTGCAAATAGAGATAGTAGGAGCAAGTTCCAGATCGTCTCAGATCGAACCGTACGTTTATACTGCATCCGGTCGAGTGCAGGAAGTACTTCTAATCACTTTATCTCTAAAGCGATCCATTTCGTGAACAAGATTTTTGTTTAATTTTCCTTGTATCGCTAGTGTCCGAAAGAAAGGCACCACTGTTTGATTTAAAATTTAAATAAATAAATTTTATCGTAACTAGAAGGGACAAACTTAAACTTTGATATGTTCAATACGATGTTCATGCGATATCAATATTTTAAATCAAACAAGCATTTTTGACCATGCTAAACATCAGCATAAAATGACCTGTTAATTTTCAATACAGTTGCTATTCGCTCGTTTATATATGCGAATGTGGTTTGGTTCACGAAATGCTAAAAAGTCAGATGTATCCAGATTTTTACACAGCGAATTATTAGTACGTCGGAATCGAAAATTTAACTATTCCACGGATCATGCAGTTTGACACATATCATGTTTTGACACTAAGATTATTAAAATTGCTCTTGCATCATCAGAACCATTGTTATCGTTTGTTTACGGAAATAAAGTCTGGTTTGACGCTGACTCGTCGTCCCCAGTCGTCTCTGTGAGCACGCGCAAGCATGGAAGGCGCGCGCAGGGGTGGAAGGGAAGGGAGAAACGAGGGAGTCTCCTTCGTTTCTCTTCTCCCTTCCCGTATTTCCCCCCGCGCTTTCATTTTCAGTATCCACGCGCTCGCATTTGCGTGTGTCTCGCAATATCTCAAATCTCACTCTCTCTTGGTCTCTGGCTCTTGGTATTGCTTTGACTTTTACATTTTTGTTTTAAATTTTCAAGCAATTTCTCGAGCTCTATTTCCAAGACCTTTAGAGACCTCTGGGGAGTGGGGACGAGTCAGGGTTTGACGGCAGATCCGGTAATCTAGCTGCAGTATTCCAGTAGGTTCGATATTTTATACCGCCATGCATAACATCGTCGTTCACCAAAACCGTGACCAATGCTAATAATCTTAATAGGCCTATTATATTATTATGTCAAACTTAACTTCGTCTCCATCCTAGATTGAATTTTCGATTCCAAGTTTAAAAATCGGGAACATTTTTTGGAGACGCGTACCTCACGATTTGGTATATTTCATATTTCTTTAGAAGCCTTGAACTTTAAATAGAACGTTTAACTAGATATTTAGCCATTTTATAGATTAATTTGAGCTGAACAACTTAATTGAAGATCTCTTGAAAGAGAATCAGTTTCTCTGTGATATAAAACATGAAAAACTAAGTCTTAGAGAAAAAGTGAATAGTCGACAAACGCGTGCAAATTCCGAGTATATATATATTCG